TATATATATATATATATATATATTATAAGGAAATCGGAAAAACCACAAAATTGAAAAAACCGACTAAAATCGAATCTGAAAAAATACTTTATTTGCAAATAAAACACCGTTTTAGGACCCTAATTTTAGTTCCTTGTTTTAATGAATTTTGTGATAATTGCCAATTTTAAAAAAGGAAAAAAAAAGGTCAAATATACCTTTAAATCATCTAAATGGGCTGATTTTATCCTTTGTTATGTTTTTTTACTTCAAAATATCCTTCCCATTAACAGTTGCTCAAAACAAAAAATTATGGATAAGTTTTGATCTTTGAACCATTCAAATAGGATAGTTTGACCCTTGGGTCTTTTTTTGTTTTTTTGAGAGAGGTCGAAAGTGTGAGACATATATATATATATATACATATATAAATAAGTAGTATAAACCCTTTCCGTTTTAACAAATAAAAATGATGACATATAATTAGAGCCGTCAGAATGGGCTTAGCCCATGGGGTCGGTGCGACCCTACCCTTTATTGGGATAGGGTTGGGATATAATTTTTCAAGCTCATTTAGAACTAGGGCTTATAAGCCCGGCCCATATAAGCCCTTAGGCCTTGAGACTTGATCAGGGTTGGGCCGGGGTCTGCCCATGGGCTAAAACTTTTTATTCAAGAGTAATTTACAATAATTTCACTAGTATATAATCTAATAATTTGAATACACGCTAATGTTGTAATATTATGAATCTCCGTATCCAGATACATGTATCTCAGAATATATGGACTCAAATTTAGGTTAATTTGTTCTAGATACACTCTATCAAAGTAGATTCGCATGTATCTAGGATACATATACAAATCTCGCTCCCTCGCCTCCCTCCCATCTTGCTTGTCACTCTCTTATCTCACTCGCATATCTGGTATGCGAGATACATGCTAATTACACTAAATTTTTGCTAGTGTTATTGAAACAACACCACTGTTTGCCATATTTGAAAATCTTCTTATTTTCTTGATGTTATATAAGTACAAGTTTGAAAAGAAAAAAAAAAAAAAAAAGGGGTTATCCCACCCCAGCCCTCTGCCTTTCTAAGGTTGGGTTGAACATTTTCAGGCCCTACCAAATAAAGGGCTAGCCCGCCCTAGCCCTTCAAATTTCTTGGCCCGCAAGGGTTGAGCTGGATGGAGCTGGGACGACCCTTTTTGACAGCTCTACATATAGGGTGTGTTTGGTATGAAGGAAATTTTTTTTCCAATTTTCTCATGTTTGGTTGGGTTAAATGTTTTGGAAAATATTTCCAAATCAACTCATTTTCCTCAAATTTAAGGAAAGTGACTTCCCTTCAAAACTTAGGAAAACATTTTCCAAAACTCTCTTCCAACTTTACAATTACTTTTTTGTTGAAAAAATTAATTTATTTTGTCCCTACCCTCAAACCAGCCCCCCAACCAACCCCCCAAAAAATATAAAATTTAAAACTTGTTTTTAAATTCAATTTTTTTACCCCACCCTCACCCCTACCCCCATCCCTCCCAAAAATATATTAAAAATTGTTTTTTAAAAGATATTTCTAATTTCAATTTTTTATTTTTT